CCATCTTGGAAAGGGGTGAGTAGGGGTGAAAACATTCGGTCAAAATTTATAAGTACAGATCGACTCAGAATTCCATTCTCAATCGATCTATATAGACATGTAGAGACTTTTTTTTATGACTGCATACGCCATCTAGGAAAGGGGTTGGTGGGGGTGGAAAAATGGGGTCAAAACTTATAGGTACAGATTAACTCAGAATTCGATTGTGAATCGATTTCTATATACCTATAAAGACCTTTTTTTATCGCGTCCGCCATCTTGGAAAAGGGTTAGTAAGGGTGAAAAAATGGGGTGAAAATTTGTAGGTACAGATCGACTCAGAATTCGATTCTGAATCGATCCATATATCCCTGTCAATACACATTTTGCCTCCATAAAATCGTATGATGCCAGAAAATACCCATTTTCCCTCCACGAAATCGTAAGCGTACACGAAACTCATTTTATCCCATAAAATCGTAGGAAAACAGCAAAGACCCATTTTACCACTAAGAAATTCAATGAGGTCAGCAAATAACCATTTTGCCCTAATGAAATCGTGTTAGTTCGCAAAAAAGCCATTTTGCCCTCATGAAATTGTATGAGGTCGGAAAATACACATTTTGCCTCACTGAAATTGTATGCGGTCAGAAAACACTCATTTTGCCCCAATGAAATCGTATGAGTTCAAGGAAAATCCCTTTTGCCCCCATGAAATCGTATGAGGTCAGAGTATACCCATTTACCCCCATGAAATCGTATGAGTTCATAAAATACCCGTTCTATGCCCATGAACTCATCGGAGTATACGACAAATCCGTTTTACCCCCATGAAATCGTAGGGGTAGAGGAAAGACCCATTTTACCCATAAGAAATCGAATGAAGTCAGCAAATACCCGTTTTGCTCCAATGGAATCGTATTAGTTAACAAAAAAACCCTTTTGCCCCCATGAAATCGTATGAGGTCAGAAAATAGTCATTTTACACCCCTGAAATCGTAGGAGTACAGGAAAAACCGATTTTGCCCCGATGAAATCGTAGGAGTACAGGTAAGACCCATTATACTCCTAAGAAATCGAAGGAGGTTAGCAAATACCCATTTTGCCCCTACAAAATCGTCTAAGGGCCACAGAAATCCCATTTTGCGCCAATGAAATAGTATTAGTTCACGAAAAACCCGTTTTGCCCCCATCAAGTCGTAAAAGTTCACAGAATACCCATTTTGCTCCCATGAAATCGTATGAGGTCAGAAAATACCCATTTTACCCCCATGAACTCATCGTAGGACAAATCCATTTTGCCCCCATGAAATCGTAGGAGTACAGGAAAGACCCATTTTACCCCTAAGGAATCGAATGAGATCAGTACATACCCATTTTACCCCAATGAAATCGTATGAGCTCAAAAAAAACCATTTTGCCTCAATGAAATCGTAAAAGTTCCCTAAAAACCCATTTTGCCCCCATAAAATGGTAAAAGTTCACAGAATACCCTTTTTGGCCCCCTGAAATCATAGGAGTAGAGGCAAGGCCCATTTTGCCCCAACGAAATCGTATGAGGTCAGTAAACACCCATTTTACCCCCATGAACTCATCGTAGTACACGACAAATCCATTTTGCCCCATGAAATCATAGGAGTACAGCAATGATCCATTTTACCCCTAAGAAATCGTATAATTCAATTTTCTTGAGATTTCTCCCTAGTTATTTTCAACTAAAGATTATAGCGTTTTTCTCACACCACTTACTGCGGCAGTAAGCGTTGCGTGTTTCACAGCAACCAAAAAATAATTAGTCGTGTTTCTTCGTGTTCTGTTTCGTCGATAAAACAGGTGACATGTGCGCAATGCGTGTTTCTTGCTTAATTTGATTGCGAATAGGTTAATTTTATTTATTCCGGTATTTGAGGAGTGTGAGGCTATTGGAGACCTGGGGGAGTTCTTAGCGCTGGTGGAAAATATTTTTTGTGCTAGTGGACTTGTAAAAGGCATTTGGGGTAGGTGATGTGCGCATGTTATTGTGGGGAGTGCAAATGCAGCAGTAGTGCATCGTGTTCAACCTTCCCCAGTGTCTGGGTAACCATCGACAGTCAGGTCACGAGGTCCACATTCAAAAGCCGCTCCAAGGGTGCGGAAATGGTCTAACTGAGTGATAGGAGTGAGTGATTGAGACAGTGAATGAGATAGGGAAGGCATCGGAGCTGCTTTTTCAGCTTGCCTGCTGTCTCGTCCTCACCTGCTCAAGGAAGTGATTGGAGCTGAAAAAGGCAGTTGGGGTAGGTTATGCGAGCATCATGTTCGGGGGTTTGTAAATGCAGCTGTAGTGCATCGTGTTCCACGTGCCCCAGTTTCTTGGCTATTGACAGTCAAGTGACGAGGTCCACATTCAAAAACTGCTCCAAAGTTGCGGAAATGGTCCAGCTGAGTGATGGGGGCGAGTGATTACAGCAATAGTGAATGAGGTAGGAAGGTGCAGAAATTGTCTGATTAAGGGATTAGAGCTGCTCTCTCATTTTCAGCTTGCCTGTTGTCTCATCTTCAACTGTTCCATGAAAGGATTGGAGGTGATGTCTCGTCTGCAACTGCTTCATGGAAAGATTGGAGCTTGGTTCTCGTCTTCAACTGCTCCAAGAAGGGATGAGGACTGATCCAGATTTAGGCTGAAGATGAGCTTGCATTCACTATAAAATAAGAATTCGATTTTCTCACACATGACATTAAATAGAAGGAAAAGACAAACTTACTCCCCCACGATCCTTTCGATGGACGATATCTTCTTAGTTCCCAGTTTCACCTCAAACGCACCTTTACGAGACTTCTCCATTATCAATTTGATCATTGCGGCGTCATCTGTGAAATTTTCATGAAGATTTTTTTGTGAAACATTTCAGTCAACCGCCTACTGAATATTCAATCAAATTTACGAGCCTAGAATTCTCTTGCGATCTACGTCATTCCTGACCTGGAATGTCACAGACACTTTATCATTCAATTTGAATGTGGCGAAGGGCTGAGTCATGGTGGCTCAATATTTTATCACTAAATTCAACCGGAACATCTATATCCGTTGATATTTAAGATTGAATGACAGGTGAACAAATGAAAGTCAGCCCATGAAGATTCTAACGAGGGATATCCTTACTGAATAATAGATCAGAAGAACTGGGAAGGCTAATAAATGTGGGAGGAAGAAAGATAAGAAAGTATGAGAAAACTGATGAATAAAAAATTTGGAAGGGAAATTCAATGGATTACATTTTTCTTCTTCAATTTTTTTCCTCTTCATCCGGGAGCGTTCGCTTTATTTTTTAGGATTCCGCAAATTCCTTGTTTTTCTTTTATCTCTTGTTTTTTGCTCGGAATTCGAACACGCGATATTTTCACTCGATCATCGGGAATTATGGGTGTGATCTGACTATCATAACAGTCTGGATAAGTTATATAATGATAAGTCATGTATGTGGGCGACTGGGAATTTTACTGCGGGGAGTTTGCATGCTTCTAGAGCTGTAAAGTGGCGACGACACCGACAAACCGTGAATCTGATTAATAATTGATAATAATAGTAATAAATTAGTCTCTCATTTAAACTCCATCACCGCTAGAAAAGGGAGATTGGAATCATTTTCTCTCCCTCCTGGTTTTCCAAAATACTGCCGATGCGAAATGATTGACTAATCGCAGTACTCTGAATGCTGACCAATAGGAAGAAATCGCTGATAACCAACTCAAACAGAAGGTCCTTCCATGTCTTAACGAAACGTTTCGTGTGCCGAAGCCCATCTGCAGCACCCATGAGTGAAGCGAACATTCATTTTCATTGGGGGTTCAGTGAAATTGAAATTTGCATTATTTTTTCTTCTCAATGAAGTTAAATCAACTCAAATCAAATAAAAATGCTTGTTTATTATCAAAATAAAACATCTTCTGACTGTGAACGTATTGGAAGTCTTCTCGATTGTTCTACTCGTTTGTTCTACTAGATTGTTCCTCTCGATTGTTATACAATCCATTGTTATCTGTCAATCAGATATTTTGGTAGGATTAGAAGGTGAGAGGTATGATAAATCAAATGGGAGACAGTAGCTCCAATTTCATCTTACCTCATTCACTATTCAGCGTGCGAAGGGAGGCAACAAAACACTTTTTGTAGCATATCCAATCCTTCAATCTCTTGCTGGAGCAGTTGAAGGCGAGACATCAGCTCCCATCCCTTCCTGGAGCAGTTGAAGACGAAACATCAGTTCCAATCTCTCCATGGAGCAGTTGAAGACGAGACATCAGCTCCAATCTTTTCCTGGAGCACATGAAGACGCGACAGAAGCTCTAATCCCATCCGGGAGCAGTTGAAGATGTGACATCAACTCCAATTCCTCTATGGATCAGTTGGAGACGAGAGAGGCGCTCCAATCCCTTCCTAGAGCAGTTAAAGACGAGAGACGAGCTCCAATCACTTGTGTACTCTCCCCTCTGGATCACGTGTCCTTGCAGATAGAGGATTTAAACAAATCCAAACATTGTTACAACCGAAAAAATGTAAACTTCTGAGACCTCCTTCAGTCCAAACAGACGTGAAACCAACAAAAGAAGAAGTATTAACTACTAAACAAATTACGAGTGTTAGAATCCACGTAGAAAGAGTAATCTAGCTTGAGCTTGAGAGAATTCAAAATGTTACAACCACATGTGACCCTAGACCATAACTTATTAGGTCTGATGGATGATATAGTACTTGTGGCTGCTGCGTTCGTGAACTTACAAAGCAAAATAATCCAATGAATACAGAGAATAAGTCTTGCGTAGCACCATTGATAATAATACAATAAATTATATTTAGAATTTCCAACACTTTGTATATTTTTGTAATGTATCGAATAGCATAAATATTAATTTTTTTCCCCCTTGACCGAGTTCATCAAGGCAGGGAAGATGGCTGAAACCCAAAATGCTGTGGCCTGCTGGAGAAACGTCGTGGTGAATTGAGAATCGTATTCTTCCTCAAGGATAGTTACGTCGTTAACTCATGGAAAATTTGGATCAGCAATGCAAAATTTAGCTTTCTTTTTTCCAGCAAATAGCATTTGCAACTCTATTTGTGCTCGGCAGTTTGGATTCACGACATTGTTGTGATAGTAATTTGAGACAGTATCAGTTCTAGTTGGACACTTAACTTCAATAATTGAAGTTCTAGTTAAGCCATCGGGTGATGCTCCAAACCAAGGATATTGAGGGGACAACAACAAGCCCGACTTCAATATCTTCTCCCCGATCAAGTCTTCTACAACCTTAATCACGTCGGATTCCAACTCTCGCCCCCTTGCCATCGCCCCTGTATCGATAGTTTTTCCTCCCATAATTTTGTTGAAGAGAGCCCCTCCTGTTGTGTGACGGTGGGCCGTCTGATCGAATATTGAAGCGGTTATGCGTCCATACCTCATTTCGTACCAAATTGGTGATTGGCTCTGATCCTTCGTTAGATTTGCAACGGTTACACAGTCTTTAAAAGAATAACTATTCTGACAAAAGTTCAAGAATTCTTGCGCATCGTCACGATTGCCAGAATAACTCCAGGTTAAGTGATAAAGTGAGATTATCTCCCAGTTATCTCTGGGTTTGAAAAAATGTACATGATGACTGTCATGTTTTTCGTCAATGCCTCGTTGTTCTGTCCTCTGTAGAAAGTCATTGGAGCTCCTCTTTCTTTTTGTGGAAGATGAGAGCTGTGAAACTTGACTCTCGGAATTCTTTACCCCTTTCGACTCATCTACCATCTCATTAATGGTCATGCTTTTTATTTTAGAGCCCACTGAAGACAGTCTTGATTTTTTCCAATAGCATGACACTTCAGTCACAGATTTGGTTCCAGACCTACGATGTAACCACGCCACGAAGGCATTTGCGTGTTTGCATTCACCTCGAATTCGACAAATTCTTCAGCAACAATGGATATAGACTACTTGAGAAACAAAATTTTCTAAGACATTCGAAACTGGAAGCAGAAAATAGAAAAATAGAGGGCCCATATAAAAAAGTTGAATAGAAAAACCTATTGCATTCGCTGGACAATTCTATAGAATTTCTATTGAAATTTCTCTTAGTTTTTAATCTTCTATTGAAATTCTCAACCAAAAATGTTTAATAGAAAAACTTGATGGAATTCGATGTTTCTATTGGCATCTTTTCTATGGAATTTCTTCGTCCCAAATTTTCTAATTTTCTTTGTTCGATTTTCTTCATGGAAAAAGAAAAAAAGTGAAATGATAAAAGCTTAGAAAATTTAAGCTGAGTAAATCCTATAGAAAATATCCCAATACAATATGCTGTATAGAAGCAACAAATTCTAATGGCTTTCTTCATAAAATACTGCATGTTGAATATTTCAATAAAAACGACCAAAAACGAATGTAGAGTTCGATAGAAGTTCTATAGGAATTCAATACAAATCCAATAGAATTGTCTAGCGAATATGATACCTTTTTCTATTGAATTTGTTCACACGTGTGATGTTTGAAGGTAGAAAGAATGATATTTTTTCAAGTACTTCAAAATTTTTTTCCATTGGCGAAAGAAATGGAAACTCTGAAAATGAACTGGGAATCCTAGTCTTTCATAGCTCTTCAGTGATCTGCAGATTACCAAGGTGCAATCCCTAGTGCACTTTCTAGTTATTAAATGAATTATTAACAATGGAAGAGTTCAGTAGCGATTTCGAAAGAAAAAGAATTCAGAAAATAAAGGGAGAAGGTTTTCATAAATTTTTGAATGTTCTTTCACCTGCAGCAGTGGCACAATCACGACAAGTTGCTTCCTCAATTGTCTGCTTTGCTTCATCAATTACAACAGAGTCACCGAATATCCTTTATCGCGTATTTTGTGCTCTGGACATACTCGTGCTTTAACGATATATAAGTTGTCCTTCCGATGCACTTAAACCCAACCAACTGCCTCATCTCCATAATTTGGACGTGATGCCCTATGTAAATAAATTATTCAAAGACAAACTCATACAATTATTATTGTCTCCTGCCTATAATAAGCTATTTTATCCATCAAACATACCTGCTGGCTTTAACTCCTCTGCTTCCCGCACTTTGACACAGAACTGAATGTAAATGATCCTCAAAGGTCGTATAATCTACTACTGGTAGATTCCCAGAACACGCCTTTTCAAAATCCTTTTCTGTTGTCACTTTCATTTTTTTATTTTACATAAATATTTCAATGCATGTCACCACCCTTATGACGTAATAGGTGACAAAATTGTGTTTAAAATCGGGACATTTTCAATTAATTATTAAAAAATATCTAAGTAAAACCTGAGTGGATTTTTTATGAAATAGTCATTAGTATGCCACAAAGAATCGATCTGTTACTATATTTCATAAAACTGAGATGCACGCAAGTTCCCTATTAAAATATTTATTTCATTCTTTCACCATACGGCAAGAATCTGAAAATAATCTATGAGAGAGAAGCAATTAACTTACAAGGAACCCTAGGTAGGTGTCCGCCTCCGATTTTGATGAATTTTATATATGTTATAGAGGAGTCAAAACTAAGGGACATGTATTTTTTCTTATCGGCTAATACGTGGATTTTGGGGGCAAAACTGTCCTCTCAAGTAGGCCACTTCTCAGGTTATTTTGTCGTTTGAGTGCATAAAGAGAATACTCTTTAATTCAAATATGAATGATGAATATGTGAATTAAAATCATTCCCAGGGGTTGAAATTTAGGGGGTGAACTACTCCCGCGAAAATTTTTTTTTACAATTAAAAAAAAACTGTTGCTCACAATTTCATCAAACCAATTCCATTCGAAAGAGCATTCAAAAAGACAGAATATCTTTTCTTGCATTTTTTTCTACAAATTGCAATTTAATTGCGACAAAATCAACTTCCAGTAACTGTCCTATCTTTCAATTTTCCGCGCTGTGAATCGAAGCTTGTATGGGATAAAAGGATTAACAGTCAAATTCGTACACGCTGTGCTGAATGTGGGGGGTAAGTAACCTCCTGACAAGTCAGTATTCGATAAAACAAAAAAACATGGTTTAAAATTTTATGAAATCATTACTATTTGCAACTTAAGGAAAAGATACGAAGTACCTTTTTTGTTTTTGTTTTCTTCAATTGAAATTCAAACCCATCGAATAGATTACTAATAATTTGCAAATCATCAAATCTGCTGCCTATTTACTTTTCATGTAGTTCCTCTCAACGAATCGCCATGACAGCCTTCTCAACATAACAAGCATTTGATGACAACTCAATATGGAAATATGACAATAATTATAGTAATTACTCAAGAGTGGGATTCCAAGTAAACATGTCTAATAATGGTAGAGTTCATAGCATTCATTTTTTGCATATATTATGATTTTAGTATAATTTTCCGAATCATCAATATTCTATGTAGATAGGTAATATTAGGGATCGTAATTCATACAGAAATGGAATTCATCAAAAAAATGCGACAAACAGAGATTTTTGGCACCATGAGCACTAGGATGGCTCAAACGTTGAAAAAATTGAATTTCGATTTTTTTTATTTTGAATATGGTAAGGAAAATAATGATGAACCCAGAGGAATTTTTTCAAATTTTTAAAATTATTTTTGTACTGGCGCATAGCAGTTCAATTTGCTAGGCACTTTTACACGTTTTCACAGAGAGAATGTGATAATAATTTTTTTAATACTCAATTTCTCAATTTATCGCTATCACCTTTTGTAGACTTTCTGAAAGGGAGGTAAGACATACATAAAAATTTTTTTCTCCGCAAAATAGCTATTTGTTATTGAAATAAAAATCCGGATTTATGCGAGATTTAGAGATCTTCAGACGCCTCTATGAGCCCTACGGAGCGTCCATTATTCCCCTAGATTTGATAGAATGAGGTCAGTCAACTTGCCCCAAGCCTGCTCAACATCGGATGCGGCGATTGAGCTTATGAATGAANATAATAAATGTCCAGGGATCGATCAACCGATCGTACAGTCTTTGTTCTCATCATCATCCAGTTTTTGAGTAGTTGCACATTTTTTACAGCACATGCCTTGTTCTCTGTGTAACGATGGAAATGACACAGGGAGGCTGGTAATTCTGTGAACTTGGAGAGTGACGGGCAATCATCGTAACATTCTTCGATATTAACCACCGGAGGTGCCGGTCCAACCATTTTTTGCAGCCATTTTTTCTTATCTTCACCTTTCACATAAATTTTGTCAATATTGTCCCACTCTCGAACAAGTCTTTCAAGATCATTATAGGGTTTATTCCCATAATTCCAAGGTGATTAAATCCATGATGATTAAGCTCAAGACACTCATTCACACCTCTATACTTCGCCGGTAAACTGGAGAACGCATAAGGAGGGCGAAAAAACCACGCTGCTGGGCATTTGACTCCCGGATCCAATATTGCGTATGCGAATTCTTTTACAATAAACTCATTGAAGAGCGTTTGAAAACCTTGCACATCCACGAGAATATCCATTGCGACTGATGTTTTTAGGGCTCTAACATTTTAATTTATACATCCATCCCCTCCAATTTTAAACTATTTTTCTCACCCCACCACTTATAGGGTGATAATTTACTACTCTATCATGCAAAATGAGACAGTAAGCGGCCGTATCCTTGGGAATACTTAATCTTGTTTCAAATTCTAGACGAACATCTACTGGACCAAATTTCAAAGATTCATTTTGTTTAGAACAATCAATTACCACTAGCGGAGTAATTGTTGAAAATAGTGTTTTACTCAATAAAGGGTTGTTCACTTGTTGATCATAATATGACGATTGAAAATTTGAATACATGTCATAAAGTATAGAATACTGATTCTTACCCATATCTATATCTAAATTACCATACGGATAACATTGAGAGTTTAAGAATAATTTAACATCTGCTATATTACAATGATCAAAATTACTAGCATTTTTCTTATCACTATTTTTTCGCGCTATTTGAAATCCTAGAATGACACAGCGAGGCTTTTCGAGCTGGGTTGCGGTTTTCACCGTCCACACATGTTTTGTCATCTGGGGGAGCATTGGATACTCATTCAACTCCCATGATCTGAAGCTCATCGGTATTGGCGGATCTTTTTGGATGAAATTAAGCAATTGAATTCTTTTAGCATCCGATAATGTTACATATGGGATTAACCACTCGATTTAACTCAAGGTGACTTTTACATCTTCTTTGTCTAATTGAACTATCGCATTATTATCTCTATGAGCTCTGATCAAAACAAGCTCATGTTTGACATTAATCATAATCTTCCGATAATCTTC